GCTATATTGTCTCTGCTGCCCAGAAGCTGAGCTTTTAGCATGCTACTGCAGTCATGACACTGTTATGCAGCAGCGGCCTTCAGACAGAGGCTCCATCAGACTGATTGCAGGACTGACTGCTACAGGAGATGGTTCCTGCTCACCATCCATGACTCTGTAGAGATCCCCACTGGACTATGTAGTTGAATTTTTTTTTTTTTTTTTTTAATTCAACTACATAGTCCAGTGAGTGGAGTAAGCACAACACAGAGGGTAGATGTTAGTCTTTGACGCTGCCTCCGGAGGTTTGATTTCTGATCTCTGGACTTTTCCATCTTCCCCACTTCTCTATCTGCCTATTACATGTCTGATTATTGTGAATAAAAGGCAGTACTTTAACAAAACCTTTTTATTAAAAAACTACTTAAAGTTAATGGCAACAGCCTTTCCAATGGTGGCTTCATTTGGTAGAGAAAGACACTGCAAAAAATGTTTATGCTAAAGTTGTGTTTTAAATAATCTTTATTCAATGATTCTTTAATCAGTTTTGAACAATACAGTCCTGATATGCCCAGTCTTCACATGTATTAGGATAATGTAATGTTCTTCTACTACTATTGAAATGTTCTATAAATAGAATAAAAGTTTCATGAATCTTAAGTTGCACATTAAAAAAAAAATTATATATGCGTTTAGTCTGGAATCCAGTTCAAGTTTAATCGGTTCAGGTATTTTAGAGTTAGAACTACACACAAAAAATAAAACTGGAAAAAATTGGTGAAATATAACCTTTTAGTTCGTCAAAATTACAGACATCAACTTCTGGAAATGCATTTAAAACTTATGAAACACAACTGATAATGTTTCTTCATTTAAAGCACCAGTGGCACCCATGAACAGATTACATCCCAGGGGGAGAACCATACCACTCAGTATTTGTTTACAGAATGTATGAATTATTTTTAAAAAGCAAACTATTGATTTTTTAAAAATCACTTTATTCTTGAATGAAACAAACCATAAGATTTATCACAAGAAACATCAAATTAAAAACTTAAGGTTACATTTAAACATCAATCTGCAGAAAGCTACACATGGAAAAAAAAAGGCTAGCCAGTATATTCATAAGAATACCAAAAGTCTAACTAAAGTACAACATATAAAATTCAATGTTTACAGCATCTGAAGTGAGATACCCAGAGCTGCATACATATAAAAAATTTAAAAAACTGTCCTCATTCAATTAAAAACAAATCAACCCAAACAACAAAACACTAAATACTAAACATAAAAAAAGCTAAATCATTTTCCCTAATTGCTGAAATGTAATATCTGGACCAGAAATTTTCTGAAAGCTTTGCTAATCTTACATCAACCAAGAACAAGGAAGTTGTGCATTTGGATAGAACGAATAGGAAAAAAAAAAAAAAAAAGCTATCTCAAGCCATTATTTTCCCCTGTGCAAATCCTCTTTAAAGGCGGTGCTCCCGATTCATCTAATTCATCCTGTTGGCAGGGGGAGAGGGGGAAAGGGTCAAGTTACAGTAAATGTTTTAAACTTGTATCACACAACAGATGCTCAATATGTGAAATTTATTTAATTAGGAGCAGTATTTGCATTCTTTATTGAAATAGGTTTCATGTACAAAACCTGAGTGTCTGGAGTTCTCCGCCTGGCAGTTCCAGATGTCAGCGGGTCCTCCTTGATGAGCGTCGGCGGCTCGTCCGCACCCTCCCGACCTGAATGTACTGGCTCTGGAGTACATTGTTCACAACATAAATGTAGAGATTGTCAAGGTGTACGGCCTTAAAATGAGCGCCCGTTGATTAAAGAGAAACTCTCATACCGTCGACCGTCTCCTGTCCGAGCATGGGCGGCTGAGAGTCTTCGGCCCGCAGGCTGTAGGTATGTGGAGGGCTGACGTGCTGCGAGCTCGATGTGCTGCTGCTGTTGTCAAGTTTTGGCTGATAAACATCCGACAGAAAACTCTGGTTGCTGTTTTCATCTGTGGGCATATCACACGACTTCTTCAATTCTTGAAACAAGCTTATTTGAGGTTAAATAAAATCATCTTCCAATTGATTCAAATCTCAGTGTGTGCTTTATTGTTACCCTCATTAAAACCCAACATAAAACCTACCGGTGAAATCCAGCATTGAGTTGGTGTTTTCAATCACCACATCTTTGAGACCCCGGACCTCTCCACTACTGGATTTGGTGCGAAATATCTAATGGGTTTAAATAGATTATAAATATATATTAGATGGAGACAATTTGTGGCAAACATATTTCAGTATGATGCATATAATTGAATTCTTTCCTGTAAAAATAAGCATTTTAAATTATACATAAAGTGTCCGTGTCTACACTATAGATGGTTGATATAAGTGCTACAATCTTACTTGAAGAAATATACATTTCAGATATGGTGTATTGAAATATATTCAAATTCCCAGCACTTTTTTCCTCATGTGGCAACCACAAACCTTAATGTAATATATTAGGGTTTTATGTGACAGATCAACACAAAATAGTCCATATGTATCAAATAGAAGGAGAAATAATATTTTCATATTTTGTATAACTACATACAGTTACACAAAATCTTTACCGAACCTCTGGAGCCTTCATTAAAGAACCAAATATTTTATTCTAACCACTTGAAAGTAGTTTCACACACTAATAATTGAAATAATATTTAAAAACAATTTTATTATAACTATCAAGAAAGATACTTTAAGTAAATAGATCACACAGGATGTGAAATATAAATCACAGCTACAAACAACCACATCGTAGATACCAAAAAGCAGCCATACGCGTTTGTCTTTTTCAGAATATTCATTTCAGACAGAGAAAAATGTACATCTGCAGGTACATAAATTGGAGAGGTGAACTTAGCCTGAAGGACACACACATTTAAGACAAACTTAATTTAGGATAAAAGTTAAAAGAAAAAGAAAACATAAAACGATACTTTTGATGAGGACAATTGAACTGATGTTTTAAAAATTTATCCATTCTGGTCATTTGAATGGATAGATTCAATTACCAGTATGGATAGATTACTAAACCAACAGAATGACCAACATTTAAAACAGCTACTTATAACATATTAAGGAATGTTTCATATTTTATATATATATATATATATATATATAAATATAAAATTCATACTACTGTGATATCCATCATTAGTAAAAATATAGTCAGTGTTTTTCACCTCATCTTCTATGCATCACAATGTCATGCCTGTAGTTTATAAGTGTGAAACACTGTTGCTATGTGGGATGCTATTACTTGTATCTAATGTGATCAGGAAAAGGATTGTGGATTGACTATATGCAATGATGGCTTGCCATACCACAGTCGGAGCAGTAACTGTTAATGACGGAGGCCCACACACCTGCTTTGTCTCCGTTACTGGAACCCACTTGAAAATGCGTAAAGACGTGTCTCCAACTGTCACCCATTTCTTCTCCCTGTGGATCAGATTCATTTGATTATCATCAGATCAGGGTTCAGAACGCGCTTAGCTTTCGCATGATCTGCTCGACGGGTATCAGTCAGTGATCAAATATGCTGAGCGCGTTCTCTCTGTCCACGTCAAATATAACTGAACTTAATGCGCTCATTGACAGTCTCGGCTACAGGCTATAAATCGTGACCTTTTCGGTGGTGCTTACTGTTGGCGTTATTCAGAAACTAACGGGGCAGTTCAATGGATTGAAACCCGCTGCATGTGAAGCTGCTGGAGCCATATTGACAGCTCTCAGCGGAAAAACTCAACATGCCCCGCCCCTCCTGCCGACCAGAGGCGCTGATTGGCCCGAAGCCCTGTCAATCATCTAACTTTTCCGACTGAAGTTTGTTGAGCGACGCAGCAAGATAGCAGGCAGCGGTCCACTAAACATTCCCCTCCATATTGTCCTTTAGATAGCCCACATACCATTTGCGCACTTTCTCGATGGCGGCCAGAACCTTTTTAATGTCGTCTTTAGCCCGACTTCGGGTCTCAGCTCGGCCTGATCGTCCCGACATCTTGGTGCTGTTATGATTCATCTACAGATGCATCTGAAAACTTCAAGACCAAGCCCCAGTCTTCTGTAACATTGGTAATCTCGCGAGACTTAATTAAAAGACTTTCACTCTCTCTCCTTTTATGGCTTTTCGTATTACTCTATCAGCTGTAATGAGAGAGCAAAGACATTTTTATGCTATTTATTTTCCAATTTTGTTTGTTTTGTTGTTTTCTTTGCTGACTTCTTAAAGGGAAATACATCAAATAATATTATAGTAGTGCCCTAACTAAAATCAAACATTCAGTTGTGTTGATATAACCAGGTTTCATGTTATACATCTTATATAGTGCACTTTCTTTTTTTCAGAACATACATTTTGAATTAAAAAATTTAACGTTTTTTTTTCAGTATGAGAGGATTTTTAAAAATACATCACAATGAAAAAGCTGATGAAAAACCTTGTGGATATTTCTCTTTTTTTAACAACAACAACAAAAAAGACAGAATACGGTTACATAGTTTTCAGAAATTTAAAGTCTGTGGTGTTGTAGTCTAAACAGATGACATTCACGGTTTATCTGTGTCAATCGGCTTGAGCTGTTTTGCAAATGAACAATGAATTTAACAGGGGAGCTGAATACAAAGAGATGGTACACTTTCCAGGTTTACTTTTAAAACGACTTGAAACTTGTATCACTTCCACTTCATAATTATGAGCTACCTTTTGTTTCTCTGTGACATACGATTACAATAAAATACAACAAAGTTGGTGTAACATGATAACATGTAAAAAGGCTCCAAAGGTTTAAACATTTTTTTGTGGAGCATTGCAATCAGTATCTGTGACGGACTGACAGCCTGTCCAGGTTTTTTTCTAGTTTTCTAGCTGTTCGGTGTTTCAGTTCTTTTTGCACAACTTGATGTTCTTCAACAAGCAGATTCATGACAAACTTCACCACAGACGCCTGATCCATGAATTGACCAGTAAATATCCTGGTTCAATCAGAGCTGTCACATTTTGACATCATAAGACCGAGGCAAGACCTAACAACTGACCGACAATACCGTCTGACTGCGAGACTTCAAACCGGATGGATCAGGCAGACTTGCCACTGAGCTTAGAGGTTGTAACAAACAGACTGGAAAACTCAGAAATAAATAGAATTGGACAACCTTTGGCTACATTCTGAGACATTAACATTGTATCTTGTAGCATACCAACCACTGTTGTTGGCTCTTGTTCCAATACATTGATTGAGATGAGGAAATCATCATCACATGCTTCTATTTCACTGCCCTACTTTCATAATATGTCACTGCAGCATGAACTTTTTTTTAAAATTTTCCATAAATTTCACAAGGTTTCTGTGAGTAGTGTACCACCTGCTCTTGTACTTTTAACTTATGGAGCAACTAAACTGTCTCCTTTGATAATTAAAAAACAAACTCACGTTATTGTAGTTTGTGATTGTGACCAGCAGAGGACAGCATTCGGTCACGCAAACCAACCAAGCTTTTGTTTGTTGTAAATTGGTGACTCAGAGCAAAGGTTGACGCAAATTACTTGGTGGTACTCCTGTCATGCTACAAAAACTCAAATTTTGTGACAGTGACCAGCTTACAGAAAGTCTACCCGAGGTGGCTTTAGCATATCTTTTTTCTTTATTTTTGTTTTATTGTCAAATATGTTTTAAATAATATTTTTGTAGAGTGAGCAAACGTTTAAGCCAAAGGTCAGATACGTTTTCACAGTAAAAATGCAACCTCCCAACTATATGACACTCTGTGTCATAGTACTTAATGTTTATTACCTTGGTAAACAAAAATTAATGGCTGGGTAGTATTTTTTTTTTTTAACTCATAATCAGCCTCCAGGCAGTGTGTTTTGTCCGGGCTGAGGCTGGAGTTAATGAGTGTCTATACATGTCTCCGACAGTGTGGGCGGATCCTGCTGGGGCTGCAGCCAGTGGCTGGAAACTCTGGGAGGAGTCAGAGACCGTTGCCAGAGAAAATATCCAAATAACGGCAAGGCTAGTCCTCATGCCGCTGAAAGCTGTCAGGGCACCTTCAGTGTTGGCCTGCTCGTTCCTGTGAGGATTCTGTCAATAAAGGCCTTCGTTAATCTGAGTGCCGTGTTTGTGCTCCAGCGTCCAGATCAGTGGCCCGTATTTAAGTTTGAAAACAGGACTCCTCTACACAGTAATATACCAAGAATCACATTCATGTAAACTGCTGAAGTCAAAATGATCACAATTGATAACAGGCACGAAAATGTTTAATTTTTTTTTTTGAGTTAAACTACAGCAGAGTATAAGAAATGTATTTCACAGCTTATGAACTTGCAGCTACATTTAGTGCATTTCTTTTGATTTTATTAAGAATGTAAATTTGTGTTTGAAAGCCTCAAAACATGAAAATCAGTCCAGGTTATAAGAGATGGAAGCAGGGGCAAAAAATTGTGAAAAATAATTAACATATGAATAATATAAAGCCATTTAACAAAATCTCAATTGAAATGTTTAACAGAATTTTTGTCATTATTTAAAAGCCCACTTTATTTAGGCAGATATTGACCACAGATTATCATCTCCTGTACTGTACAGTGTCTTTGAAAAGTAATCACACCTCTTCAACCTTTTCCCTTTTTGCATCACCACAAACCTCAGTAGTTTTAATGTTATTTCATATTATGGACCAACTTAAAGTTGTGCATATGTGTGAAGTATATAAATAGACACTGTTTTGCTTTTTGTAAATCATTCAACTGTATTCAGGCTGCTTTAACACTTGTTTTTAAATGTGATTTGATTTATCAAACCACCTAGTGGTGTCAAACTCCACTCATCAAGGGCCAGTGTCCTGCAGTTTCTAGATGTGGCACAGGTACAAAACGCTGGAATGAAATGGCTTAATTACCTCCTCCTTGTGTAGATAAGTTCTCCAGAGCCTTGCTAATGACCTAATTATTCTACTCAGCTGTGATGCAGCAGAGGCACATCTAAAAATTGCAGGACAGCGGCCCTTGAGGACTGGAGTTTGACACCCTAAGAAGACTTAAGACTGAGGCTTGTTTATATCACTGTCAGTGTAAAAAAAATAAATAAATACAAAACACAATTTCCTGCCATATTTATTTTGAAATATTCATTTGTATATTTAGAGCTTTTAACATTTAAACTTTATATTTCATTCCTTGACCGCACATCGTGTTTTGGCTTGCGTGAGCTCTTATTTTGAAACGTATAAAACAGGAAGTGGCGTCCTGTTGTAAGCCCGGTTGCTTTCTTTTGGTGCGGGTCTCGCTGCTGCTGCTGTCATTGACTGGAAGGCAGAAAGTGCTCCAGTGAAAACGGGACGGGGAGTCCTCCACAGCAGCATGGACGGCTGCCCGCCATAGTTCCTGCTGCCCGGGTTGTACTTCCCACAGCCTCGACCTTTTAGTCGGCGGAGAGTTTTGTCTTATTTTTCTGGTTTCCAACCCGTGTGAGCGTGTTGTTTTTTTTATGTTGCAACCCGCAATGGATCGAGTGAAAAGCTCCATGCAGCAAGTCCCCAACGCTATCCCCAAAGTGATCCGTCGGACTGGAGGGGCCAACAGCCTGGAGCTGGAGAGGGAAAACTTTGAGAGAGGGCAGGTAGGAAGAAACTCGGAGACGGGAATCTGCTGTGGGGCTGGATGAACGCGTGGGAAGCATGGATGGATGGAGGAGGTCCCATCTGGGAGCCGCTTTATTTGTGCTGTTTCTGGGAGGAGGATTAATAATAGCAGTCATGTCGCGCTGTCTGTTGTCAGCTCAGTTAATAAACCTGGCTGAGATGGTGAAAAGAGAAATTACTCCCACTCATGTTCAGTCAGTTCACCCCACTGTCTGTGTTTGAATCCTCATTGTTTTTCGCGTGTGTGTGAAAGCAGACACAAATGGATGCACTGTACAACAAAAGAGCTGTTGAAATGTGGGTCAATGGCCTTTTGAATTCAGATAACGGTGCGTTGGAGTTTATCTGGTGTGTGTGTGTGTGTTAAGGAACAGGAAGGAGCTGGAGCACCATGAAGCTGGATCATGTACGTCAATTATGGAAGAAGCGCTGATGTCCATGCTACACGGAGAACAGAGCGTCTGTATCGCTTAGCAGGGGTCTCAAACTCCAGTCCTCAAGGGCCGCTGTCCTGCAGTTTTTAGATGTGCCACAGGTACAAAACGCTGGAATGAAATGGCTTAATTACCTCCTCCTTGTGTAGATAAGAGCCTTGCTAATGACCCAATTATTCTACTCGGGTGAGGTGCAGCAGAGGCACGTATAAAAGTTGCAGGACAGTGGCCCTCGAGCCTGGAGTTTGAGACGCCTGGCTTAAAGCGAATCAGATAGCTATACTCTACTTGATCTTATGAGATCTACTTTGCATGACCTGCTCTCCCAGTTAGCAGTAGATGCTGTGAAACCATTCAGAGTCGGACCTGCTGGTGTGTTTTGGATCTTATTCCTGCTGTGCAACCCAACTGTGATTCTCAACCCAACTGTGATTGCCAGAGAGCAGAAGATCCTGGTTCTGAAGCCCAGGGCCATCGCAGAACCACCACCCTGCTAGGCAGTCGGCATAACGTTATTCTTTTGAAATAACCAGATCTAACCAGATCTAACAAGATGCATGCATCCTACACAGCTACACTTCTGTCTCATCATATAATGTTTACCATGAAAACTCCAATGGAGGCAATTTTTTTTACCCAGTCGAATGATGAACTCTGATCTTAAACTGTAGTAAGTGAGACCTGCTGTGATTTAGACTTTTTTTTGTTTTTTGTTTTGGTTTCTCCTGTGACCTCTGGGTGAATCATTGATGCACTCCTGGGAGTAATTTTGATAAGACTTGCTTCTGAGAAGATTCGCTGCTGTTCCATGTAAGGGTGGGTGATTTGGACTCAAAATGGTCTCCATCATGAAAAATATGATAAAATTCATGATGCTGCAATCTTTGGTGACAAAGGATTGTTGGACTGTGTGGATCCATACAGTCAGAGCGCAGCAAACTATTCTTGAAATACTTTATCAGACTACTTGATTACTCCAGTTACATGATGCACTGTACTTGTACCACTTTTCAGC